GCAGCCATCTCAGGTAGGGCACGGCCACCCGCGGGCGCAGGGACACCCAAAGGGGTGCCAGAGCCACCCTGCCTGGCCAAGGGTCCCCCATCCTCAGTCTTCCTGACCTCCCCCCGCCATGGCACCCACCACCCTTCACCCCTCCTGCACCCATGGGGAGGACACCGACACCCCAATGCAGGGTGTCACCGAGCCAACCCCCCCACCCTGGGTGCCACCGAGGCCACGGGCTGTTCCCTGGGGGGGGGGCTGTGTACAACCGGGAGCCTGGTTTTGGTGAGTGAGAGCGTTTCGCCCCGTCACCGTCATCGTCCCCGTGCCACAGCGTGTCCCAGCACGTGTACAGGCACCCGGTGCACCCCGCAGCAGGCACGGCTCCGCGGGCATTAATGCCACCCCGCCGGGCTGCACAGGGTTACGGGGTGCTGGGGTGGGCACCCACTGAGCCCCCAAGGTGCTCCATGGGGTTTCTCCGCTAGTACGGGGGGGGAGCCTGCACCAGACCCCCCCCTCAAAGGTCCTCGGGGTGCCTGGCTGCTTGTTCCTTCTCCTGCCGAGGGGGACATCCCTGTGGCCCCAGGGGCCATGGGGGGGGACAAGCCACTTGGGGACACAGTGGCAGCGGGACCGTCCCGTGGCTGCAGCCGGGAAGGGTTCGCCAGCCCCCACAGTCCCTCTTTAGACGATTTTGGACAATCTGGAGAGAAGTCATAATACTGCTACTACAGTAATAATAATGCTTTTAGGGACATTTGTATTTTTATCATATTCTCTCTTTTTTTAACATAAAAGAAGAGATTTACATGCCTGGGGAAGGGGCTGGAGCCGAGGGGTGGCAGGACCAGGGCACCCCAAGGTCGGGCACCGCGGCGGGCTGTGCCGGGGCCCCCGAGCCCCGGGGGCTCCCCGTGGGCAGGGGCAGCCCAAGTGCTGGCGGGGCTGTGCCAAGCTGGGTGCCCACCCATCGCCCCTCGGGCACCCCGCTCCTCCGGGAAGGATTTCTTGTCTGCGGTTGGCTCCCCGGGGCTTGTGTGTTCATTTTTAACTCTAGAGCTCTTAGCCGTTATCTTGTTCAGGTATCTCTCTTCTTCATGTGATGGTAACATCCAACTGGTGTGTAAAATACAGAAAAACAGAAAAAAAAAAAAGGAAAAAAAAAAAAAAAGCCCAAAAAAAAAATCAAGACAAAAGCCCAGACCGGCTGACGAGCGGCTGGAGCAAAGGGATGCCCGGCTGGCGATGCCACCCCGCTGCTGGTGGCTTTGCTGCGTGGGGGTGGCTGTGGCTGGCTGCCCCCTTTTCTAATAATGGCAGCAGAGGCTGGGGCTGGCGCCGCTGGGGAGGCTGGGGGGCGAGGGCCGGGGTGCGCGGGTCGGGGCGCCTTCTTTGCAGAATCCTATTTTTGGGGAGCGGGGCCCCTCGTTTTCTGGAGGCAGCCCCTGTTCTCGGTAATAAAGGACAGTCAGTAACTGCCAGCGTGCCTCGTCTCTGGGGTCGGGGGGATGTGGGGGACGGCTCCTGCGCTCCCCCGGCAGCTGTGCCCACGGCGAGCGCTGGTCCGAGTGGGGACAGGGGTCACAGTGTCACCTGCCTCTGGCTGAGCATCCCCCCCCCAGCATCGAGCATCCCTCCCCAGCACTGAGCATCCCTCCCCAGCATCGAGCATACTGCACCAAGCACCCCCCCAGCACTGAGCATCCCTCCCCAGCACCGATCACCCCCCCACCGCATGCACAAGGAGAGGGGAGGATTGGACAGGCCATGCTCGAGGACCCCCTGGAGAAGGGGGCACATGCCGGGGGGGGGTGACAAAACACTCTGAAGAGTCCCTGCAAAGGGAGGGAACAAGGAAAGCCACCTGGCCAACCTGCAAGGGCTGCAGGGTTGGGCCTGCTAACGAGGGCAGTTAACGAGGGCAATTAATGAGGGTTCATTAAGAGCAGCCCTAGCAAGAAGCTGTTCCTCAAGGTGAGGTGCTTTCAAGCAGTGGTTCTGCTGGGAGGTGATTCCCAGGAGCGTTGCGGGACCCTGCCCGGATTTGGGGTCCTGATGGGGGCTTTGGGGGTCCCCCCAGCCTGCACTGAGCTGGGTGACGCAGCCAGTGGGTCCCAGTGGGCAGCAACTGGGCCAGAACGGTAAGTGGTCATCCCAGCTGGGCAGGGGTGTGCTGGTGGGAGGTTTGGGCTGGGTCCCTGGGGGGGTGATGTGCTGGGTAGGGACTGGAATATGGCTCTGGGGTGGGGGACCATGTCCTGGGCAGATGTCTGTTGGTGACGCAGGGGACACGTGGCTGCCTGGGAATCTGGGGTGCTGGCTGGCACTGCAAAGGCTCAAGTGGCTGTGTTAAATAATTCACTGAAGGCTGGTCTTGAATAAATAAAAGAAACTCTAAACGAGGGGATGGCGGGAGAGCTGAGTCCTCCAGATCCAGGATAGCATCCCTCCAGATCCGCCTTTCGGGCACTGGGACGCAGTGTTAGAGGTGGCTGGTTGCAGCAGGGATAAGGCTGTCCCCTGGCCGGCTCCTGCATCCCAGTGGAGGGTAGGTTGCTGCTGCTTGAACCCATTCACACTCTGGTTTATGCCTAACTGAGCCAAACCTGGAGATTTTGGCAGCAACAAGCTACCAACGGCATCAGTGCCACCGAGCCTGGCTGCTGTCTGGGCTGTGTTACACCAGAGCTGGGTTTCTTTTATCATGCTACGTCTTTGAACGCAGCAAAAAGAAAATACGCTTGGCTCCGTGCAGTGATCCCGGTGCTCCTGTTGCACAGAGCTGGTCCGAGGCACAGCGATCCCTGAGCCCCTTCCTTTGTGTTTGCAGCCAGCAGGAGCAGATGGAAATAGCAGCGTGATCCCAGCTGCGGCGAGGCCACAAACCGTCGTACGCGGGGATGGGAGAGTAGGCAGGGATATATATAGAGACAGACGTATGGATGATGCATTGCGCACACGCCTCGCCGGGTGCTGGGGCTCGACGATGCCAGCGTCCCCGAAATACTTGTGCATAGCAGAAACCTGTGAGGTTTCACTGACTGTGGCAGCTCCTGGCCCTCATGTCACCACGGCAATTGCCACCGGTGCCATGCCTGGATCCCGACCCAGCTCCTTCCCCAGCAGGAGTGTGAAACCCAGGGCTGTAAAAGGCTGCGGTGGTGGGAAAAGGCTGCAGGGAGTCGGGGACCCCCCTGCCTGGGTGTCAGAGCTTCTGGATCTGGAACCCTGCTGTGGGGACAGGCTGATGGTACCCAGGGCCACCTGTACCCCTCACCCTGCTGAGCACAGACTAGCTGGCAGGGGTCTGCATGGAGCTGGCAGCAGCAGATGGGTTGTGCCAGGCAGAAAAGGACATCTTGCTTGGAGCGGGGGCTTGTAGTCCTGTGGGTCTCTGCCAGGGCCAGCACCCTGTTGGGGCAATGGATAATTACCTGCTGATTAGCAGCAGTGTCTCCCCAGGCAAAGCAGCAGCACCCTAGATCGATGGCAGGACCCCTGGGGGCTGGGAGCCACCCATTGCTCTGCCCAGCACCCCAGGGTGCCCCATGCCAGGATGCTCTGCCGGCTACAAGCCACAATGGTGAAGCCTTCCATGGGTGGCAGGAGGGACTGACAGCCTGGACCTGTCCCCCCGCAACCAGACCTGAACACAAGGGGGAAGAGCAAGCCAAGCTCCTGCCAAGCCCCAAATCCACTGTCCATAAGTGGGAATAGAAATGGGGCCTCGTTACTGCTGGAAAGGCAGGGGCTTCATCAGCCTCCACTGCCGGAGGGACTGGCACAGACAGGCCCTGCGTATCCTGCAGATGAGGATGCTCCACCACATCTAAAATAGCCACAGTTCCTGCTGTGGAGCAGGGAGGGGGGGGGGAAGCTGGGTAGCATCCACCCCGCCAGCATGGGAGAGGATGTGGCAGGAGTGCTGGCTGCCTCCCAGCCACCAAACCCCTCGCAATTAAAAGCGGATGTGTGGTCTAAAACCTCTAGCAAGCCCCAGCCCTCGGAGAGAGCATTTGGTGCTGGTGCGGCCGAGCTCCCCTGCCGCACCAGGATGGCTTGGTGGTGAGCGGGAGCATGGCTTGGAGACAGGCAGAGGAAAAAAGGACTCCCTCGAATGTCACAAATAAGAGGAGCTGATGATCTTGCACCAAGACGTGTTGCTGCATTTTGAGTGGCTCCCAAACACACCCTTCCCTGCCGCAGCCCCCCGGAGAACAGACCCCGTCACTCTTCTCTCACACTGGGTTTTCTTGGGTTTGTGCTTTTTATTGCTTGAGTTTGGTACAGATGGTGCTCAGGAAGGAGAAGAGGAAGAAGGCAGCAGCCTGGGCTTTAGTGCCTGTTTCGGGGCAGACAGAGCCAGAGCTGGGGCTCCTCTCCTAGTACAGAGGCAAAACCCTTTCCAGGCTTGACAGGCAGTGCTTGTGCCCAGGCAGTTTCCATCAGCTTTTTCTCAAATCTGATGCCCGGAGGAGCCCGGAGGAGACCTCTCTCTCCCCTAGCCCAATTCCAGCAGCAGGACAGGGATCTCAGGGGTGAGAAGGGGTCTGTCTGTACCTTTGCTCTCAAACCTTGCTGCTCTTCAGGGTGATGGGGTTCATGTGGAATGGATGCAAACAGCATTGCTTTTTCCTGTCCTGCCCCACGGAGCCAGGAGCAAAGGACACACGTGGAGGTGGCAGGGCAGCTGCAATGTGTGGTAGGAAGGTCCCCATGCTTGTGGGCAGGCATCATGGGGACGCCTGGCTGTCAGCAGCACTGTGCTGCCCACCAGGGCCTGTCCAGCAGGCGAGTGGGGTCTGTGGGGTCACCCGTCATGGCAGAGGGCCGTTTCCCCCATCCAAGGCACCCTGCGGTTACATGGGATGCTCTAAGGTGGGCTGTGGATCCTGACGGTGACCCACAAGCCCTGCAGATCCAGGAGGCAGCTCTTTGCCTTCCAGACTGGCAGATGCTGGTACTCGGACTATCTGTTTTCCTTTGCATGGAGGCTGTGAGCTTCCTTCTTCCTCAGTCCTAGCTGGGAGATGGTGGTCTTCAGGAGCCCAGTGGAGGCTCCCCATCCCCCTGCGGTGCATCCCTGTGGGTGTCTGGCTGCAGCGTGGCAGCTCACGTTTCCCCAGGGGAGCCCCGCAGGGCTGCAAAGCTGCCTTCCCCATCCTCCAGCAGCGGGGAGCCGTCCCCGGGGGCTGCCGGTGCGGCCTCGGTGCCTTCTTCTTCCTCTTCTTCCTCCTGGTGCTGGAGGCTCTGCAGGCGTTCCTGCCGCGCCTCCATGAACTCCTGTGCCCCGTCGCCCACCAGCTGAACGGCATCCCCCACGGAAGGCGGCTGCCGGACGGGGTTGTGGTCGTAGGAGAGGAGGCGCAGGGAGGAGAGGCAGGCCAGGTCGGGAAAGCGGGTGATGCGATTGCGGTCCAGGTCGAGGACGCGGAGGTGGACCATGCGCAGCAGGACGGCGAGGAACTCCTCGAACCGATTCCCGTAGAGCCAGAGTCCCCTCAAACCCGCCATGCGAGGCAACCCGGCGGGCAGGCGGGCCAGGCGGTTGTCTCCCAACTGCAGGCTGCGGAGGTCGGGCAGGCGCAGGAGGGCTCGGGGGAAGCGGGCGAGGAAATTGCCCTCCAGCCAGAGGCAGCGCAGGCTCTGCAGGCGGGCGAAGGCGGGCGGCAGCCCCTGCAGCCCGTTGCGGCCGAGGTAGAGGTAGGCCAAGCGGGGCAGGCGGCACAAGGCCTCGGGCACCTCCAGCAACTCGTTGCCGTCCAGAGCCAAGGTGCGCAGGTGCCGCAGGGCCGCCAGCTCGGCCGGCACTTCCCGCAACCCTGTCCCGCTCAGGTAAAGCTTCCGTAACCCCCGTTGGGCCCAAAGGGCCGCCGGGATCCGTCCTCCCCGCACCTCCAGGCGTTGCTCGATGCCCTCCGGCCCTTCGGCCGCCGCCGACGTCGCTCCGCGCCCCGC